AGCCCACAGTAAGAACCAGCACCACCCTCAGATTCCCACCTACCTTCAGTCATGGAATACACACTAGAGGTGGACAAAAAATACCATACCTTGAGTAGGATCGCCGACCTTCTGATAAACTAGATGGCAAACATTTTTCTCTGTCAAGGCATGCACCGGATTCCTTCCGTCGCCGGTCAGTGTTTAAACTCACCTGCCAACTTTGTTTTCTCAGTGGAAGCTGTTGCACCCCCGGCTGGACCCGGAACGACCACTTCTGCCTCCAAGGACCTCTTCTCGCCCTCCGGGCCCTTCCCGGAGCCCGTCACTTTGCTCACGGTAATCTTGACCGACTTGGACGTAGAGGCCTCCACCCGCTTCTCCCCATCTTCCTCTCCCTCCTCGTCTTCATCATCAACATCATCCTCGTCGTCGTCGTCGTCGTCATCATCATCGGTTTCTCCAGCGCCGTGCTCCGCGCGAGGTGCCGCAGCCGTGGCGTTGATCGAGCTCGATGCTGCCGATACCACGCCCTTCGTGGTGTCCGCGGAGGGGCTCTTCTCAGCCGCCCCTTTGACGTCAGGCGTTGGTGCACCGACATCCTTGGCCTCCACCGCCGGACTCTCTGCGGGCGCAGTGGCCTCCTTCTCGTCCTCGCCGCCAGCATGGCTCGCCTTGTCGTCGGCCGGCCTCGTGTCCTGCACCGTCACCGAGTCGTACGCCAAGGACGAGATGGCCGCTGTGGTCGCCTCCGGGCTGCCGGAGGACGCGTCTGTGTCCGCGGCCGCGGCTAGAGCGCAGCACCAGGCGATCGCCAGCAGCACCCAGAAGGGCTTCTGGAACAAGCAAAGGGGTTCCAATTCGACTCTGTCCCACGTCGCAGGTCGCCCTCCAAAAAGTAAAACAACGTGGCTGTCATAACACCCACATTTTTTGTTGTCGGGCCTAAAAAGGCTAATGTATGCTATGGGACTCGGTATGGGAATGACAAGAGCTAGACGGTGTTGCAGAGTCACGCGCTCGCGGCCTTTGTTGCCAGTCGCTGCACTCGGCCAGGGCTGTGCAGCGCGACGAAAAGTGCTGTGCACATATTCCATTCTTTATCTAAGCTTTAACATTGTTATCAGATAAGGGTGCGCAGGCTCGCCGTCGCCCCGTCGTCGTCGGGGTGGTGTGCGCCGCCGCACAGGGGTGGTGGCGTGCGGCAGCAGCGGGGGGTGCTCAGTCAGCAGCTCCGAGGACTCCATGAAGCGACTGCCTCGAGGCGGGCCGCCGCCGCGTCGCCGAAAGGTGTGCACCGAGCATATCTTTCTTAATGACCGTGCTGGGGTCACAGCTACCGCCGCGTGTCCGACAGTCCGGCACGGAAGAGGCGGGGGGGGGGGGGGGGGGGGGTGGAGGTAGGAGGACAGCCCATCTCCCAGGCCCTTCTCCCGGGTGGCATCGGCACTCCCCCCCCCCCTCCTCCTCCCCCACTCCCGCTCCCATCTCTCCGCGGGGTGCCAAAACAATGGACCGCAGGGCCGCGCGGGCCCACGGTAGCGCGGCGCGAGGCGCGAGGCACGCGAACACCATAACCTGGCTCGCGATAGCGGCAGTTTGACCCACGCGCAGTGCACCATACCACCGCCGTATGTATGCACGAGCGGAAGAAGGGGACGGACGGCCTTGATGGCCATAGGGATGGGAGACGAGAGGGGAAAGAGCCTCGTGCTGCGCCCTCAGCCGGGGATGCGAGTGACGCATGACACACTGGCTTTTGATGACTGAATAGGAATTTCAAACAAACTATAGGTTTCAAAAAAATTGACTTTGTACATGCTAGAGGTGAAAGTGATAGTAGCAAAAGTTGTGATTTTCATGATTTTGTTTTTGATTTAATGTATTATTTTCGGTCCAGCGAAAAATCTTAGCTTATTGATGATTACCAAATTAAAGTAAAGCAAGTAACTTTGCAGAGAGCGGGCTATAAACATAGGGGCCGGTCAAAGAATACACCCGCGAGCCCGGGTTTCCCACGTATTTCCATTTTGAATAGATTCCACGTGAGGCCTGTTTCTAGCAGCTTCTTTTGTAAGGGGAGTGGGATTCTTTTTCAAGGGCGGGCACACGTCGCCATATCATTGACACCCGGATCTTAAAATTATGAGCTTAAATGATCTAAGAACATGATGTTCATATTAATTGTTTTATTTTACAATTCAATGTGACCTTATTCAAGCTCTTAGAACTTTTAGGAGTTAACACTTCCTTGGGGCTCATTTTTGGTGACAAAGATTTAACATAGCGCCCCAATGGCCTTGTTATAAGAAGTACGATTGTATATCATCAATCAGGAATAGTCAAAACTTTAAAATATTAAAAGTAATGATAGAAAGGTAACTTTTTAGGAACGAGACTTTGCCTTCTGGTAGAGACAGTCTTTTAGGGGACTGTCTAAAAAGTAATTGACCTCAATTGACACACTACACTACAGACAAGGCGAATGCAAAAAAATTCCCGGCCGTAGGTTTTAAAATAATTGAGTACAGTCGTAGGAAGTTTTTCAGTTACCTTGACCCTCGCGACGATGTCCGCCATGATGAGAGTTGCTATCAATCACTCTGCTGTTCGATACTCCTGTGTTCACTAGCAAGGCTGTCACTTGCGTGTCACGCACGCGTCACTCCACGGCACTGCACGACACTGCTGCACACGACCGTCCTCATGTCACTCTCTTACACGTGGAAACACACGGGGCAAGAAATAAAGAAAGAAACAAATCCGCTCGCGACGTCGCGGTGCTGCTACTAACTGCGCCTCCTCGGCCGACGCAGACCGGAGACAGAGCGCGCGAGGATGCCGGCGGGGCGGGCCGACGGACGTGCCGGAGACAACAGTGGCCATGCGGCGCGGGAGCCGGCTTCTTTATAGACTCTCCCGCGACCCGCCCGGCCCGGCCAGGAGGACCCCCGAGGTGGTGGGCCTGGAGGGACCCCCGGCCCCCCTAGCCCCCGCCACCAGCCCCCGCCCCGCGCGCCCGGAGCCGCTCGTCGACGCGCTGCATCGACACCCACGCCGCCGCCGCCGCCGGGACGCCGCCGACGCCCCCTCTCCTCTCCGCCGCCGCCGCCGCCCGCCGAGCTGCATTCGATGAGGCGTCGCCCCGCGTCCACGATGCTGCGGTCGGCGCCCACCAATAGGAGGAAACAAAAGGACTCGGCCGGCGGCGTCCGTCTCACTCGCACTCGTTTACGGCCGCCGGGCTGCGCCGCCGCTGCCACCGCTGCCGCCGCCACCGCCGCCGCACTTTGGGGAAGGTCTTGCTCAGCGTGCGTGAAGTGAGGAGCTTCAGATAGAGATCTCCTTTCACACGGCGTGGCGGGCCTCGGGCCGCGCGCTTTGCGGCTGTGGGCCGGGATGGGATGGCGCGTCCCTTGCAGCCACGCCCTGCCCGATGACCCGGCGGACGCGCCCGAGGCGGCTGTGTCGCCCGCGAGGTGCTGCTCCTCCCGGTTCCCCGCGGGGTCTTCGCGGCCGCGCGCCTGTCACCATAAGACGGGGCGGAGCGGGTCGGCGGCGCCAGGCGCCATAGTGTGCGGCACTGCCCACGCCGGGTGAAATTGAACGTTTCCTGAATGCGGCTGCTTGCTGCTGCTGCTTGCAGGCCGGTTCAAGGTTTGGGCGGGGGAGCGCGCCCCGCCCGCGGCCCGGCCAACGAGTAAAAGGGCATCATTGTCATAAGAGGAGGCGGTAGCGCGCGCTGCCGGGCCGGGGTCAGGCCCTGCTGTTGAGGGGGCGGGGGCACTCGGCCGGGCAATTCGAAGGAAGTTTAAACAAAGGGTTCCGGCAGGGCGGGGCGGGGCGGGGCGGGGGCGGGGCGCGAGGAGGAGGCCGCTACCGGAGGTGAAGCTCACGGGCGCGGAAGAGCCTGCGCTTGCGTCCGTCCGTGTCAGCGGCAGGAGCGCGCGAAATTCCGAAAGAAATAAAAAAGAAGAGAGGGAGCGCGCGAGGGCGAGGTTTGTGTGGGGGAACGGTTGAAGGGGTATGGGATGGGGCAGGTGGGAGCCGGGCGGTAGGGGGAGGAGGGGTGGAGCTGCCGAACTCCCCCGCGGTGACTTACGGACGTCACGGGCGGACGGACCGCAGCCCCAGAGCGCGGCCGGAGAAGAAGGATGAAAACCTCGCCTTATCAGCATGTGATGCGCGTCCGACAAACTTGTTGTCTGCTTGTCTATTCACGCCGCGCGATCGCGCATCGGGCGCGATGGGCGCGGCCTTCACCTGTAGGACGGCCTCGAGGTCGCCCTTGGGGAGCAGGGACTTTGGTTGGCGCCGCAGGCTGCGCGCAGGCCGCGCGCGGGCAGGCAGGGCGAGCCCACGCTCACTGCCCGGAGCGGGGCTCGGCTTTGACTTTGCTCTGGTTCGCTGGCTCATCAGCGGTAACGAGACGAGAGAGCAAAGGGGACCGCGGCCAGGCTTTGGTCAGCAGTGAACCGCGACGACGACGACGTCTCCAGCGCACACTGCCAAAAACGCCAAAAACATCCTTGCTTACATTTCGACAGTGGGATTCATATTTTCCCTGTGTATACTGCAAAAGTTGTATCCGCAGCTTGGGCCAGCGTATTAGACCCCCCCCCCCCCTATTCGTCAGGACAGTGTGTCATCCTGCGCGTTGCGCTTGCCCCTGGAGCGGTGGCTTTGGGCTCCCGCCTTTCTCACGGTGCCGCGTGCGGTGTGTCTGGAGAACACTGCCTCCCTCTTCCTCCCCCTCCCCCCCCTCCCTCTCTCTCTGCCTGCAGCCATAGCCATCTTCTCGCGGGCCACACGGTCATCGCGAATATGGGATCCCGAATGGCACTCGCCCGCGGTCGTAGTGCAGGGCCGAAGACTTCTCAACGTGTCATATTTTTTCCTCGCACCGGATAAGGTGGCCGGCGTCGTGCTCCGGTCGGCTCCGGGCTCCAGGGGATCGCCCGGTCCCCGTCGGCTCCAGGACGCCACCGGGTCTCTGAGACGGCACCACAGTAGCGCCTGTCCTCGACGCGTGGCTCGGCCAAACGACACACGGCGGTCCGCGGGGGTGGCCCGGTCAGGGCGCGGTGCCTCCTTCGCTTCCGCCACTTAGAGCCGGACGGTGGGACCCTGACGCCGCCCGCGACGTCGGCGGCGCCACCGACGCCCCCGATGTCCCGCGTCCACCGCGCCGGCCGTATCTCCATTCGCGGTACTAGTAGTAGTTTCGCTGTCACGACAGCGCACGGCGTGGCGCATTGTGTTTACACGGCATGAGACACAACACGCGCTATAAACGCACTTCCCGAGGCATTTTTCAACGTCAGCTACGGGCGGCCCACGAGGTGCCGCCCGGCCGGCCCAGGGGACCTGCAGGGGACCTGCGGGGGACCCCCAGCGGCGTCCGGCGTCCTCCGGTCTGGCTCAATTACCACTTCGTTTGCGTGGAAGAGTGGAGTGGACGCTGCGAGAGTCTGCCTCGCGACCTCGCCAAATGATTACGTTTGACGAGACGGTTTTTACTAAGCGATTCGCGAGAAACCCACTGCTGCTGTTTATAACAGAGCCGCTCTCCTTGTTCAAGTTGACGGCGAGCGGAGGAAGCTGCAGCAGCAGCGGGCGGACACACTGACAAGCGCACGGACGGACGGAAGTGAGTGACCGGTTGGGGCCGCGTCAGGTCCGAGACAGTCGACGTCGTCCTCGGCGGTCATCGCTGACCTCTGCCCACTCTGCGATGACGAGCAAATACAACGCGGGGGTCTTCCGCGTGGATGAGCGCCCTCGGGCCCTTTCCCCTTCGGAATGGCGTTTTCGAACGATAGAAAACACGGAGGAATGGGGAGAGAGAGTGAGAGAAATGAAGCGGTGCGTGGTCGCAAGTGGAAGCGAACGCCTGGTAGTTAGGCAAAGTCTCAGCGTTGGATACATCTGGCCTGGGCGGGTGGCCTACCCTCAGGCCGGCAGGGGTTCAGCCCGTAGAGAGACCGAGAGGGTCAGATGGTTGGTCCGGGAGAGAGAGGGGGGGGGGGGCGAGGATGGGGCGGCGGCAGTGGAAGTGGAGCCGCCCCGTGTCGCACCTCTCAAAACAATGACCCTTCCCTTGGGCCCCGCCGGTCGGCGCCCTTGAATAGAGCCCCGCCCCGCTCCGCCCCGCTCCGCCCCGCCCCGCGGGCTACTGGCCGTTCGTCATTACCATGAGCGTAATTGAGGTATTGTGAGCATGCGCGATGGATGCTGTGCCCCGGCGTGGCGGGGCGTGGCGGGCGTGGCGGGGCGGAGCGGCCGCGGGCCGCGGGGGCGATAGGTGGCGATAGGGCAATTTCAGACATCTACCGCCGCCCGCGCGCAGGTGGTGGTGCGCCACTCGTAGACGACACCCCCAACTGACCGAACCGGTGTCGTCGTTGTACGATGAATCTGACGCGTGTGTAGGGCACGCCTGATTTTCCGGATCGACACAGGTGTACCGCACATCCTGCAGACTGTAGTCGCTCGCAGTGCCACACTGGCATGTGGAATACAATCGGACCCTGCTTTGTATCGCTTGTCTTCCCACTGTATTACCAACTTTTTTTGCCTGACCTGCGGGAGCACACATTCGTCCCCTTATGCTGGTGAAAGGCAAAAGCGATGAGACAATGCTGGGCGTGTCGGGTCGGGGGCGGCGGGGGCGGCGGGGGCGACCACGGTATGACAAACAGGGAGGCGCGGTGGCGACAGCCGCGTACGGTCCAAGGAGAGTTCGCGCGCCACTACTACGGATGCCGCGAGGTCGCGGCCGCGCGGGGTGCTAACGCGCGGCCGCGCATCGCCCTGGACACTTTTCTGGAGCGGTGCGAAATATTTCGGTCGAGGCTATGGTTATACGCGAAAAGCAAAAGGCCACAGAGGGGCGCGGGCAAAGAAACTCGCGGTGGCAAAAAAAAATAAAAAGTGCGTAACACGATATGAAATTAGCAGCGACGGTCTCATCCACCCACTATGCCGCGCAGAGGGCGAGGCAGCTCCTCGGAATTCCCACGACGACATGGAGGTGACAAATTAGCGTGAAAGATTTATTACGGCGTAAAGCTTATTCGCGGCAGGGCGTCATTTGTCAGGATCCGCTGCAGAGGCAGCCGGAGGCAGCAGGGGCAGAGAGGAGACTGCATGAAGGAGGAGGAAGCGAGTCGGGGGCCCTTTTCATAGGCTCGCGCCTAAAGCCACGTTCCCCGCGCCCTTTTCCTGGGGTGGCTTTCATAGCTCACTGGTGGAAAGTGAAAAGGGCGTAAGTCCAATATGGGAAGTCCGAGGCGTAAGTCCTTTCCACTTTTTTACCAGTGAGTCTTAGTGTGGTGCTGACGTTTGGCTCGGCCGGCGCGGTGGGGAGTGCGCGGATGCGGCAACGACCAGCAAACCCAGCAGGGGCGTGTACTACATGATGTGCGCAGCGCTCATTACCCTGCCCCTGGTTCCGTCCCGCTGAGGTCCCCGTCGTGGAGGCTCCCGGGGGCTCCCGGGTGGTGGCGGGAGAGGTGTTCCCGTGGGGATTATGCAAATTTTAGGACAGGCCGCCGCGAAGCTCTTCCCCATCCTCTGCCTGCCGCCGTTCACTATGACGGCGTCTCGTACCGACGCCTCCACCGACGCCCCCGCCTCCCCCCCCCCACTCCTTTTTTCGCCGAGCCTCCTCCCGTGCACCGACCGAAGGCAAAGCAGCAATGGCACCCGTCCGACCTTCCCTTCGCGGCTCAGAGTGTGGCACGCTTGGGAACCGCCCATCCTATACGGCAGTGTGAGGGGAAAAAAGAAGGACCGGGGGGGTGGGGGGTGAGGCAAGGGGAAAGCCACGAAGGCACATCGCGCGCGTGTGAGGAAGGAGCCCGCAGGCGTTCGCTTGCGGCGTCGACGACAAAAAACGACAAAAACGAAATTCCGGAGAAAAATGCAAAACTGGCGGAACTGCCGGTTAATCAGTAACGATTTTTTTTCTATCAATTATTTAGGCGTACATCGACATTGAGAGCTGATCGGAAAGTTAGTCGGTCCGAAAACACGCTTCCGCACGATCGTGCCCCCGACCGCGCCTGGGGAAAGGGCGGATGATGATCCGAAGGTGAGCGGATAACCGGAAATGATTGGGGTGAATGGGGTGGGGGTGATTAGATGCATCTTTAGACAGTCCCCAAAGGCTCCCTCTACCCGAGGGAAATTTGCCCCCTCCCTCCTCCCTCGCGATGTGGATTCGACCTCGATACCTTGATTTGGGTGACAAAAGTACGTTTTTCGAGCTACGTCGACGTCGATCGAATTCCATTTCTGGCTAGGCCATGTATCGCTGTCACTGATTGATGTCTCACCTCGGCATTGACGATGCCTGTATAGTATGAGTATATAACAGTCCGTTAGGAAACTCTTCACCTTATGATTTTCATTCTCCATAAAAAACCGGGGCGCCGAGGAATTTGTGAAAGCGTTTACAAACATACAACAAGAGTGAGGGGAACGCAAATAAATTTAGGTAGTAAAGGAGTTGCGGTATTTTTGGGCTCTGTCGCGATCGAACGTCGGCACACCAAGATTTTCACCACATGTTATAATTGTAACAAAAACACAATAATGTTTATGATTTGGATTTAAACGTAAACATCCTGGCAGACAGTTTGCTCCAAGCTTCGTGTTTTCCCGCTCTCTGGCACGGCCGGTGTGATTCCGAATCTCAAAATTTGTAGGGAGGTGCTTCTTGGGGGCGAAGTTCGCTCTTCATTTCAGCATGCTGCCAACTTGCGAATAAAAATGTCTTTTCTTTTCGATATTTTTCACCAAAACAACAAAGCATTATGAACAATAAGCAGCTGGAAGTGCCATGCTTTACACTTTTCCACGCAAGTTTTCAGTGTAGCAGTGTGTAGATGCCCTATGAAACGCGATGATGGCAAGGTAGTAGAGGGAGTGGAGAGTTAAGAGCAAGGAAGAAACACCAACAAGAAACCAGTAACGACGAACCCACCCAACACCCAACGCCCTCCTGCCTCTATCAACAACAACAGTGTCAGAAAACAAATACATCTATCTGAAGCAGAAGACATGTTGTAGTATCAGTATTATTTTAGTGCTGCAGCTTTAGGTATTAGAGTTCTCTTTTTCACTCAAGCCTACATTATTTGTTGAGATGGATGAAGACGAGCAGGAAGATTTACTTGTGAATGTTAGTGATTCCGAGGATTCTCCAGAAGAGAATGATGCCTATTTGGACCTGAGCAGAAAGGTTAACCACAGTCCGCCATTCCGGCATGGCCTCGGTGGACGTTGTTGTTTCAAAAAACGAGTGGAATTTTTGAGCACAGGCGTACTGTGCTTATTTTCAGCATCTGCCCTTCTCATTCTGTTACCCTTATACTTGGAATCGTCATCTCAAGTTGCTGACATCTATCCCTCTATCATATTTTGCTGTGCGACCTCTTCTGTTCTTACCTTGTCTTTCATATGCCTCTGTGCCAAGTTCCAAATATTTTCACTTTCTGGTTTTCAAAAGAATGTATTACCCCCTGTACCCATCTGGAAACTAGTGCAGATAGGGTCATTCCACAGTTTGGGTGGACTGTGTGTGCTTTATGCATTGGATCGTCAAAGAGTTCTGTGCCACCTTCAAGATCCTTTGAAAGGAGTTATTCTTGTGTTTTCAATGGTCTTTTACTTCTGTTTCTCAAGGAAAAGTAAGATTTAAAACATATGCCTACTATAGCTGTGTAAAACTATAGATTACATCGTGGAAGGTTGTAATCGTATTGTTCCTTTGTTTGCAGTAATGGGACTTCAAAAAGTATTTTGTGCTACAACAATTGTTATTGGATTATTTGTCAGTGTTGATTATGCATTGTGCGATGAGTTTCACTGCAGAGGATATGAACGTGAAAAAGTTGAAGATGATGGTGGCCAATGGAATCGTGCCACACACTTCTTGTGGGGTCTTATTTATCTTGTGGGATTGGCCTTATGGTGTTTCCATTTCTCTTTGCTAGAAGGTCAAATTGTATCTTTACGTTTGGTAAGTTTGAAATTATTTGATGTGGCTATTAATTCACCTTTTAGAAGTTAGTTGAAAAATAAACTCTTTTTCTAGGAGTATCAGCTTGTCTGCACAAGTCCAACTTCTCTTCTCGAAACAATATCGTGTATGGTATCTTCTCAAAGTGATGCAACTCAGCAAGAAGTTCAGTGGGGAACAAGTGAGCCTCCACTTACAGCTGATGAGGTATACTATAATTTGATAAACATTTGGTGACAGTTTTAATCAATATGATAAGATGAATACTTTTTCTTTTAGCTCCCCACTAGTATTAGCAGTACAATAAATTACCAGAACAGAGAAAACGAAGATCAGTCAAATGCTTTAGGTCTTGATAATCGATTGATAGTGCAGAGAGGAAATCCCAGTGCAGGAACCAAACATCTGTCAGCTTGTAGTCTTGCATTTTGGGTGTATGCTGTCAGTTTTGTTATCACTCTTCTTTTATTTTGGACAAGTTTGATTCCCTCAGTTGGGAAGGTAAGTACTTTTGTTTTGTACTCACTTTTCTGATGTTGCAGCTGTTGTCATTTGGTAACTAATTAAAAATACATATCTTGTTTTCAGATTTCAACCTGGAGTGAACTTCTAAATACTACCCATTTAGGTCTTCTCTGTCACTTTCAAACAAGTTCAGGGTTTAACCAAAGTACTACTGTGATTACAATGGCCTCTCAACAAATATCATGTGGTCTACTTGCTCAGTATGGATGGCTGTTTGCCATATGTTTACTGTTGTTTTCAGCCTCTGCCTATCACTTCCTCTTATTGTGTCAATCATCAGTATTTACTGTGGCAGTCATCACTTCAGCCTTACCTATAGCCAATGTATTCTGGTCTTTATTTAGGCTTTCTCCTGCAAGTGGAGGTATGTTCTTTATTATCCTATTGGAATTAATTTAAATCTAAATTTTTCTTTTTTTGTTGTCTTTGTTTTCTTTTAACTTTAAACTCATTCTTTTTCCTTTTACCTTTTCTTCAGGTTACATTGAGTGGTGGCCTAATTTTACCCCCGAACTTGTTTGTACTCTTTTGGGCATTCCAATTATTGGAACAGGATTAGTTCTTCTCTGTAAAGCCCATTGGACCAACACAACTCAAAAAGAATTGTGCTGTACTCTACGATATCATCCACGTCCAGCGCCTACGTGATAAAAATAGCCTTCTTTAATTCTAAATAGTCTCCACATAGTATAGTAAGTACATGCAAATGTTTTAATTTTCTTCCTTTTAAACTCCTGTTAAGGAAATGCAAAATTTACTTCCAGTTTCCTGTTAGAGGTTAAGAAATTATTTGAGGTATATGAAGGCTGTGCCAAGGTTTTCATTATCAGTGTTTTTGATTTTGAAAAAAAAAAAAAGAAAGAATGAAAACATAAAAAAAAAACAACAACTTTGTACTGTAATTATCTAAGAATTTTTTATGTTTTAAATTTGTTGTTACATTTATCTATCTACCAATATCTTTACATATATCTATATATATAGAAAATTTCTTGTTGATAATACTGTTACATTATATTGCCATTAATCCTTGAGATATTACATGTAGGATTCAGCCATAAGTTCCATTGATTAGTGAGGTTCTTTTGTTGTTGGTTTTTTCTCCAAGGAAAAAATGCTGCTGTGCCTTACGAATTCAGTATTGCCATGTAGCAATTTCTTCCAAAACTTTCTTTATTAAACATAGGTGCCTAACTTGTTGGTGCTTTTGTTGATCAACTCTACATGTTCCACTCACTTACATTTCAGGCCAAAATCATAATTGGATTTTTAAGCATTTTGTTGCAAGTTTTTATTGTTGTGCTACTACATACTTTTATAGGAAATTTTTGACACTAACTTTTGTTAGGGAGATGACATTTATTAAAGGAGAAATTCTGCAGTATCCAGAAGTAACTAGTCTAAATCTATCGCTCTTTAGATTTTTTGTTTCTTGAATTCATCCAACATTTTCTTAAAAAACTAAATGTTAAAATTGTTTTATTTGTTTGAAAAAAGTTGATTGTCTGTGGCGAGGCATCACCTGTTATTGATCTTCAGGCTATTTATTTTTATACCTATTGACTTCCTGGTATAAAAAGTTGGCGAATAGGAGATAAGAGATAAAACAATATTGAAGATCATTTTTGTGTGTGGGCAATCCTTGTTCAATATCAAGTACACCAATGCAGGGAGTTTTTTGTGGTTTACTGGATCTGTTTAGAATTTTTTCCTTTGAAAATTGCCATTTTAATGGTGCTAGTTAATTGTCGACTGTGACGTGATTACTTTTTGGATGGTCCATTCAACGTAAAATATAAATTGTGTCTGACAGCCACTCACACACGGTGGGAGGAAGAATATATTGTAGCTGTGAAATCTTTAAAAACAAATAGTGAGTGTGTTAAGATAAATTTATAATTGACTTTCAATACACAAATTCTGACAATCATTCATAAACCACATTCTTTGGTAATATCCTTCGACCTAAGAAATTGACATATTCAAGTTTTGTCAAGTGACGCAATGGTGTAAGAAAAAATATAATTTCTTGGTGCTATGCCCAGAGCCTGTTACTAAGCCCTGTAGTAGAATTGCAAAATTAACTTTGGTTCTTTCAATGAATGAAAAAAGTCTGAGATTGAAATAATTTCAATTTCCTCCTGCCGAATTATGTGTGAGGTATCTAGCTTATAACACTTGTGTGTATGAATAAAATGATACTGTTTAACATTTAGTGAAAAAAGTAATGAGTTTAGCTACTTATATATTTTTTAATCTGAGGAAGTCATTTAAGGCATAGTAGTTATCACGAGTGAAAGTAACACTTTCATACTTAATAATCTTTCCAGTATGTATTTTTGATTATGGTTATAAATTTTATGTTGTAGTGATTTTATAAATATAAGACTGTATAATCTTCTAAAATTGAATGTATTTGTTAGTTTTCAATATACTCTACTATATATCATATTTTGTTCCCAAAAATTTTGAGACTTTGACTAATGTTTGCTGAAAACTTCCAAGGAATTAATGTAAGTGTGTTGTAAAAATACACAGTTAAGTAAAAAGTAAGTTGAAGTCACACTCTGCCAAGGTGAGACAGTCTTTACTTTCCATTTGACTGTGCTCTAACTCAATGTTTGGGAATGAATTGTCTTACACCCAGAAAGACAATGTGTAGAAATGAAGTAATTTTACTTGCACGACATGTACCAGTTGGCTGTTCACGCCATACAATTTTTATTGTTATCTTGAACCGAATGCAACCATGCGGAAGGTTTGCTTATTTCTAGAAGCCAGGAGTCAAGATCAGCGACTGTTGGTATGGTAGGAAAGCCTGCTTGCAGGCCTGTATGCAGTATTATACCTAACTAAATCAATGTACTGTGGGTGAACCAACCACAGTATTTGTTGGTGACATGTATCACATTACTCCATTCAATAATATTTTATAAATGAGATATGTTTTTTATGTGTGTAGTCATGCTAACTTAAATTTGATGCATTTCATTCAGAGAGTAGCTGTCGTAGATTCATAAAGTATATTCCGCCATAGGTATTTAAAGATAATTGTGCCTCTAAAATTTCTCAACTCACTGACTGAAAAGAAAAATCAATTCTGTTTCTGCTCCAGGATATGGATATGTTTTTATGTATGTGCTTGGGTTATGACCTTCAGGTTTCTAAAACTATGCCCTATAGCATGATAGAATTATGGCTAGCCACCCATTCAGTGGTGAGGAAAAGTGTTAACTTTTGTATTATGGATCAGTTTACCTCTCTTGTGTTACACTACTAGTCCTGACGTGTCATTGGAAAACAGTGATTTCTTTTTCTCTGATAAACTTGTTAAGATTTTGTGTTTATTCCCCTAGTCTCAATTGTTACCAATTTTTTTTTATGCTACCAAAGTATGGCTGAATTTGTATGATATGATAGTGATACACACTGGAAGAATGCTCTATCATGGTGATATGCAGAAAGTTTTGTATGAGGCACAAAAATCACACACACACAACTCATTTTTTTCCCTGAAATCAAATAGTTCATTTACTACTCCCACCCTCTTGGTCCATTACCATCCCAGAAAACATGGTTTTGTCAAAGTGATATCAAGTGATGTCAGTGTCTTTACATCATTTTGTCATTTTGTCATTTTGGTGGTCTGCTATAACGTCAATTTGACATCATGTAACGTCATGTGATATCAAAATGACGTCAAATCAAGCCACCGAAATGACAAAATTTTGAAACTAACATCACGTGATGTCAATTTGACAAACCTGTGTTTTCTGGGTATAACTCACTGCGTAGTGTGATGCTAGCATGTCAATGGATGTGCCAAATTATGGCCTTTTATTTTCTTTAGATTCTATTATTTTCAGCGTAGCTGTACTCTTGTTGCCATTAGAAGCACGGTTTAGACTGGCTACGATTGTCATTTATTGGATACGTTCTAGTGGGTTTTCGAGGCCTCTGATTGGCTGATCTTCAACTAGAACGTATCCAATAAAAGACAATCGTAGCCAGTATAAACCGTGCATTACTCTTTTCTTGTTATTGTTTTGGTATCATAAGATAATTCTCTTAAAAATTTAAGCTGATCTGAAAACTTAAATTTGAATGTTTCTTTTCCAAATCAATTCAAGGGGAGATTACTTCATTATATATCAAGGGGAGATTACTTCATTATATACTATCTAATCTTTTAATCCCACACTTTTGTGCATTTTCAGTTTAGTGTACTTTACCACTTTGCCTCCTGAAACAGTATTTGAATTTTGAAATTGCCAACAGTATTTAAGCCTACAATTGCCAAGTAAGATGTATTTTACCATTTTATTTCACAGGCTGCTTGTTTTGTAGTTATACCTATTACGATTACTTGATAATGGTACTCGACGAGCCAAAGTCTTGATAATACCTAGATAAGTTTGGGTGAAAAGGCAGCTAATGGTATTTATAATAAACAGAATTAACCTTTCATGTCAACAACATTTTCCACTTTTCCACACCATAATAGGAGAATGTTTACCAATTAATTTTCATTATTGGATAAATTTATGAAATGACTGTACGAAAACAATTATTCCCTTTTTGCAAAACAAATCTGCTCACCCTAGCCAGAGAGAATAGTTATTTTTGTTGTTTTGAAGACTGCTCAAATGAAGAACGTTGAAGTTTCTTAGTGATATGAAAAGCTTTTCGTTGTTCTGCTATTCAATAAGGTGAGGAAAGCATAACTGTTTTGGTTAGTTGTGAAGTGGCCGATAATGATCATTTCATTATCATAATCTCAAGGTTATGCATTCTCTCAACATAGCCCATGTAAAGAAAAATTGTCTGCAATCTAGCCTAATATCTGAAAAATGAGGTAAGCCTAGTTATTAATTATCATAGTAGAAACAACTTGCAGATGCTTCAAATATCTCTAAAATTCACTGGAATGGGTGCCCTTACAGTCTGCAAATAAAATTAAAGTTGTTGTAAAACTTAAGCAAGGAAACGTCCTTACATCAAAGGAGTGAGATAATTTAGGCAGAGTGAGCCATTAAATTACCAGAGTTTTGATTCCTTTGCATTTCAATTTTAATCTAATGTAAAAGTTTAGTTTCTAACAATCAGACTGAAGGAGAAAATAATTTTACATTCAACAATGTATAGACCCAAAGTATGCAGTTAAAGAATGGTGAATTGTTTCATTGCCGTCCACTAAAAGAACCTCCTAAATTTTCCTCGAGTGATTGATTATTAGTCAGTTCACTTATCTCTTTTCAATTTGGTATATCATATTATATCAACTTTTATTTACCAATCCTGTCAAGTTGTAGCTTTTGGAAAGTTGTCCAAATGTGACCCACCCAAGTAACTAAGATTTGTCACCAAATGTCAAAATGACTTTTTGAAATGAAAAATTGGCGCTTTGGGGTCCAAAAACACAACAGTGTGATAAGATACAAATTTTCGTCATTCTAACGATTTGTGACGAATCTGTTACTAAGGTGGAGGCATCTCAATTCTAAATTATTGACTATTTTTGTTTATAAAATGTTAAAGGTCCATTACCTCTCTAAATTTATTCTGGTATGTTAAGATTTAATTCTTTCCTTTCAATCCGAGACACTTACTGTCAATTACTCTAGGTGAGCTCCAGTAAAGATGTTGTATTACTGTATAGTGCTGACAATCTACTTATTGCCAATTTTGTAGTTCAAAGAGACATAGAAATAAAGTGTATTTCTGATTTATAACTTTCTTAAGCTCCTCTACCTAACAAGATGCATGTGTTTCCACAAATGTCCGATGTTTGCGAAAGTCAGAATACTTAATTCCCAATATGTTGGATTTATTGGTTTTTTATCGGTCTTTTGCCAGCGAAACTTAAGATTCTCCGATGCCACTTGTGCATACTGCTCTTGCATACAGAGGTTTAACTAAGTAAAACAGATTGAGAAGAGTACCTTTACTGAAAGATGTCCATAAGTAGAAATAAAAATGCAAATTGACTGGCACCTTGTAAAATGGCATTAAGCATAAACTATTTAAAAAAACCAGTATTGGTTAAAATTGAAAAAGTAAATCAGTCATCATCATCATCCACATATTGAATCTTACTCCTGTTGGCAGTAGAACGAGAAGATGTTCTTTGGCTTGCAAAAGACTCTTGTAAAGTTCGCTGAGGTGCCTGCATTTTGAATTGAAAGAGGTGCATAGTAAATGAGCAATAAACATGAGAACAGAAAAAATAATTTAAATCATTGGAGAAGTCAAAATTCATTCAAACTCACTGCTTTAGCCTTGCTAGATGTGCTGGAAGCTCTAGCGCCTCTAGGTGCCCTCGGGGCTCTTGCGGCGCGCGCAGCACGGGAAACTCTACCCCTGCCTCTTCCACGAACTGCTACCTGTTCTTCAAATTCTTCATCGGAGTCCTCAATTGTCTTGTCCGCATCATCATTGCCTTTGTCCTCTCGTGATGAGGCCTTCCGAGTAGTAGAGGGTTTCTTTGGTTTGTCGGTTGAAGATTTTTTAGCATTTTTGAGCTGTGTTAGAATCTGCAACAAACATTGATACCAAATGATGAACTCAAATAAAAAAAAGTCATCATTTGTGGGGTAGTTCAAGAAAAGTTACCTCCTGGCTTTCACCTCCTGCCCGTTGAATGTTATAATTTCTAATTTCATCACAAATGTTCTTTTCATCTACATCCAATGTCATTAAATGGTCCGTCATTCGTTTAGATTGATAACTTGTACAAAAAAACAAAAAACAATGCATTAATTTAAGTAGAAGATTTTGCCATGCCAATCACTGTTTCAATCCTCAAACACAAGGCTTTGGTTTCAAAAAATGAGGTAACTAATCAAAGGTAAACATTGAGATAATTACTTGATAATTTCATCCAAGACATAATTCTTCTGTAATTCAACTGTAGCTTTCACAGCTTCATTAAGACCAATGGCAGTGAGAACAGACATACAATGTGAATCATCACCTTCCTCAGCTTTTTGTTGGAAGTACTTCAATATGTAGTCTTCCACTGTAAGGTCTTCTCTCTACAGATAATTTTTAATCATTTAATAGGTACAGAAACATCAATTTGCAAAATAAATGAAAAGAACTGGTAACATACTTCCTGATATATTCTATTCATTTCATCGGTATCCAATACATCTCGCTTTTCTTTTTTTTCTATGAAACGTCTCCTCATTAAGATAAGTTCTTGAGGATTTGCTATTCTCTCTTCAAATTTTTGTCCAAAGCGTACTAAGTTAAACATCTGGCCTTCATCGGTGTAGAAAAAGCGTAAGCGAATCAAAGGTAGCTTGGGCTGCTTTTCATGACCTAGGTATGAGGAAAGGAAATAATGAGGAAGTGATTCCAATTACCGTTTAGTAGAGAAGAAAATTTGGATAAAAATGACAAAGGTTACCAGTGAGCATCCCTTCAGCATGCTGAATCATGCTGTTTACTTCTTCCTCAGCCTTCTCTTCTAGCTGAATTTGAATTTGAATTTTTAAATATTATCAATTGAACTCATTTGGAAAAGAAGTAAAGAACATACGAACAAATAATACCTGTTCACTTGAATCTCTCATGTCATCATCTTCAAAATTAAATTCTGAAGCACATAGATCTCTGAAAACAAAGGGTCGAACAGTTCTCAGAGGAATTGCTTCAAGAAGGAATTTTTTTTTGTGTACTTTCAGGAGACCAACACATTTGGGAATAGCTTCTCCTTCACTCAAAGATGTGGCGACAGAACTGCCTAGTTAAAATTTAAACAAAAATAATACTTCAGATATTTTTAAAATAATTACAATTAGTTGCAGACAAAATATTATAACAGTACCAGGTTGTGTGATATGATATTCTGCTTTTGGAGCTTGTTCAGGAACTATTCGACAATCATGTTCATGGCCCCAAACAATGAGGTCCATGAAATTAGGTAGTTGATCTTCAGGTATATACTCTTTCACACCTCTCGCAGCCCTATTTTGATGGAGCACGCAAATGTTAAACCATTCATTTGTATATTGATCTGGTTGTTCAAAAGTAACCTTCAAGAAATACAATATTAATTAGTTTGGAGAGTGGCATGTTAACAGGACACATTCAGTAACATTATTTTCTTACATTCCCTTCTTCAAACAATCGAATCAATCTTTTGTCTTTAACATGGCTCAAACCATATAAAGCTAAACGTGTGTTCCCCTTCTGAAGAAGAATGGGACTAACAGTAATATTCTGAAGGTCCAAATTCTTTCCAAAGTAATTTACCAATCCAGCACAGCTTAATAGATCCAGGGAACTGACATGGTTCTGACCTAATAAATAAAGTAATGACTTCAGTGTAAACCTTTCAACATTGGAGAGTTTAACACGTTGAGTCCCACGTGACCACACGCATGGGCACAATAAGCAATTATTGCGACCCCCCTTGGGACTCAACGTGTTAATTTAAGTGATAACAAACTACCTACCAACAGGATCATCATGATTTCCATGAATAGAAAACACAGGAATAGATACATTAATATTTGGATCTTCATAGTTTACGACAGTTTGAGTTGTGTTCAGGAAATTCTTATCTTGGTCACTCAAAAACTCAAATGAAATAGGCCTGAAAATAATGATAACCATATGAGATGCTTGCACTTGTGCAATACAAAAACATTGACAATTAAAAATAAAGTAAACATACCTGTCACCCATGCAGTGCTGGCGAAGTAGTAACATGCATCTATGCATGGAATCTGCACTTGCTTTAGAAAGGTGAAATAAGTCACCTCCCAATAAAATAAAGTCTACATCTCTTTCTACAGCAATTTCTAGGATTTCTTCAAATGAGACAAAACTGTCATTGCCTGAAACAAAAATTAAATCAATCTACTTTGCACGAGTAACATGTGACTTCTTGTCAGCCATAAAAAGTAAGAGCGAACAACAATTCGACAGCGACTGCTGTAGACCTCCCAAATATGAGCCGTGACGCATGTTAATTAAAGTCACGCCGCTGCCGCAGTAAATGAGTAAAAACCTGAAAACAACGATGACTAACCTCGTATTGGATCTTTCTCCTCATATCCCAGGTGAATGTCGGTGGCTATTAAGATGTTGAATACGTCTTCAGGGGGTGGTTCTCCATCACTAGCCATGATTAATCTTGTTTATTAAAACTAGGTACAATATCAAGCACCACGAGGCAATTACTGGACAGGACCGACTGGACACCAACAAACAATGAAAATGAAACGAAACAAACTTGAGAGCGGCGGACGAGCGAGCGAAATATCCCGCTGCCTGTCTAACGAGGCTAACCACCCCCGAAAAGTAGTTATGGTGCGTCGCGTCTGGTGAAAGAACAAAGAACAGCACAGTAGTAGGTGGAGATTAGAGTCAATTGAACTGTTCTTTCGTCAGCACGAATATATCGCAACTCAAACAACAATTCAGGCAACTAGAACATAGAGACTAGAATGTTTCAAATCCAACCGCAGGAAATTAAGACGTTGGCGCAACTGCTCAACTGCGACGTCAACAGATAGACAGACCTCTTGGACAGACCAGGACAGACAGACAAAACAGTCTCCTGGAACAGACAACAAAACGAGAAGACAATCATGTTCAGGACCTAACCTAATCTAACTATCCAGGCAAGGATATTCTAGAGCACCATTATCATTGTCCAAGTCTTATTTTATTTTGATGTTAGTCAATGTGCTTGCTTCAGCTCAAATTTTAATGCTACTAATAAAATGGTCAGTTTCACTTAACATTGATGAACCGTGCAGTGCAACATTTTTCAAGATTATCTATGCTAAGGTATGATTTTGTATAATTTTTGAAACATTTTAATTTCTATTTTACAGGGTTTAACCCCTCAGTAATTTGAGGAATTCAAACAGCTGACTATGGGCAATTCTCATGTTAAAAAATCCCAGAAAGGGGAGTCACAGGTTACTGCAACCAGACAACAGAAACGCTGTACTGATAAAACAACAACAATGGCTACAAATGCAAGTGGCGATTTATCTGATTCCTCCAATTTTGATCTCGATTTATCTGATTATCTTGATATACGTACATGTAGTGTTCTACAACCTGTTGCTCCAAGAAGGAAGAGAAAGTCCTTGGCCATGGCTGTTAACCACCCGGAGACAAATTCATGTTTAGAGTGTTCACTAGAATCTACGACAAATAGCAGAACTTTTCCCCAACTTTTTGAAGAAACAGATTTCTGCCTTGTTTGTGGAAAGTTTGGCCTGAAAAGTGAACGTTCTCATCAGTCGACCAAGAATCATATCGAAATAAGAGAGTTCCTTCTGAAGAGGATTTACCCGTATGGCTGCCGTGAATGCCCTTTAAGATTTTTGTGCAAGCATGACTTACAAAACCATGGTGTTTTCCACAAACATTCAGCTTTTTCAAGACCAGTAGAGTTTGATCCTATTTGTTGTTACTTGTGCCTTTTGCCTTTCCAAAACAGCAGATATTTGCAGGAGCATGAGCAATTGGAAGAACATCAACAGAGGAAAAGAATGGCCATGGAAATGGGTCAAAGAGAGGCAATTGGTGCAAAGGTTGTAAATTTTAGTGTTGCATCCACTCAAACCGAACTTCAAGACTCATTAAAGAATATTGATAAGAGTACTGCAAGTCTGAAAGAGAAGTCAAATGATGGATCTTACTTTTGTTTTCCCTGTTCAGTTACTGTCCCTAAAGCAAATGTGATTACACATGAAACAGGTAAAAACCATAAAAAATCCTGTGAAACTTGGGTCGCTAACTCTTCTCAAGTAGCAAATAGTGTTGCATCCACTCAAACTGAACAACAAGAATCATTAAAGAATATTGATAAAAGTACTGCAAGTCTTAAAGCGAGTTCAAATGATGGATCTTACTTTTGTTTTCCCTGTTCAGTCAATGTCCCTAAAGCAAACGTGATTACACATCAAACAGGTAAAAACCATAAAAAATGCTGTGAAACTTGGGTTGCTAACTCTTCTCAAAAGTCCATTCAGTACCATAAATCAACAGAATTGGAGAATTCTACTAAAATGACTGCGTCAGAGTTCTCAAAAATGATTGGTAGTTTTCATGAAGCCACTATTTTGTCTTCGGACAAGACCAACAATCTGATCAAAGCCCAAAGTGAAAAATCAGATTTTGAGCATCCCATGAGTGACCTGGAAATGGTGGAACCTCATAAATTGGAATTAACTCCTCTGAACTTAGCTAGTTCTCCTTTGAATGGGGAACAGACTAGTTCTACTGCTGAAGTTAAAAACAATGATGTTTCTAGCATTCCAAATGACCCAAATGAATCAAAATGTGTTCCTGGTGTAAATGGTGTGAAGATCTTCATCAAAGGAAAATGTATTACTCTGGAAGATATTATTGAAGCTGTTACAGAATATTTTGTTATTGATGGAATTGTGGAAACAAGGAAAAAGGTGCCAGTTAGTAACTTTGTGTGTACTAAGTGTAATGTAGCTTGCATTATGTCCAATATGATCTCTCATATGATATCTAAGGGACATAGAGGTATTGCACAAAATCAAACCTTAAATGAACTAGAGAAAAAACATGAGATTTTAGCATTTCTTCAACTTGCAAGAGATAGCCATAAACTATTGAAAAGTATGGATTTTGTCACTGTTGAGAAAACATTGCAAGAGATACAAAATTTAATTGAAGCTGGAAATTTGGCTAAAGCTAAAATGATGGGTGCCAAGTTTGATTCTGCTTCGCTTCCAGCTATTTCCCAGCCATCATACAGCTCTACTGTTAGCGAAAGTTCACAAGAGTTGGAGGAAGTGGATGTTGAAGGGAGAGTTAATTTGACCGATAACATTGTGATTGGAAATTCAAATTTGGGAAGTCTGCAAGAGGAAGTAGAACAAGCTCGTCAAGAAAATGATATTGATGATTTTGAAATGGAATGTGGAATTTGTGGTGTTGTGTTCCTCATTTTTAATGATGATGTGGATTTTTCATTTGATAAGCATATTCAAGATGATCCACAACATCAACTTGCCATCGCTGTTCCTGTTGAAAGAGATGCCAAAAGTATGGCTGAAATGTCCAAAACTATACTTACACCTGTGGTGAATAAAGCTCCTATTAATAAGCTTCCAAATATGAGGGCTGTTGTGACACAAGGAAGATCCAAAGTTTGTGAGGAACTTTTAAAAGTAGAGCAAAAGTTTGTTTCATTAGGCCAAGATAGTTATTTTACTTGTAAGCTTTGCTCTGTAACTAAAAAGAAAACTCTTGCTCTACATCATCTGATAAGTAGAGAGCACTTGTCTGATAATTGGGCTGGTCACTTTACTGATGTTGAATTAGTGCAGAGGAGCAAATTTCTTTATTCTCTGTTAAAATACAAGTATGCTGTCACAATGTTGACAAGTGCTATTGAAAGAATTAAAAAAATCGTAGAAGACAGGTCTTTAAGTGAATTTGAACAATACCGTCTAAATAATGCTGTTGGGGAGCAGAAAGTCCCTGTCAACACTTCAAAATGCAATGGATCAAATGTGATCAATGTGATCAAAACTGCTCAAGTTCAGCAGAGTCTCTCATTCATTAATTCAAATCATATTTATTGTGAAATGTGCTCTTTGAACATAAGTGACTTAACCAGTGCATCCAGAAGAAAACATAGAGCTCAGTGCCGGAAAATTCCAATGGAAAAACTGACCCCGGTAAAGTCTTTGTCTCAAGCATCTAATTCAAACAAAGTTAATCCTGTTAAACCTCCAAAAAATATCTATTTTTGTGACATTTGTCAAAAGAGTATGTCCCACAATAACAAGAAGAGTCACATATCTGGAAAGCTTCACAAATCAAAAATTGTAGTACAGCCTGATTCAGGACAGGGTAAACCAGTCATGCCTTGAGAAAAGATGATACCACTATGGTAGTGGTATGTAATGATGTGTTTTATAACTAGCTTAATTTCTGAGTGCTGTGAAAATATTAGTATTTTTTAAAATAAAATTAGTTCTGTGACAAACCGTCCTTACTGTTACATGCCACCTTTAAAGTAGGCCTCACAACAAAACTTTATATTATTTGGAATATTTTGATAATTAAAGTATTTTCAAATCAATGTTACCCACTTTTTCCCTTCTGTCACCCCACCCAGTTCTTTGATCTCGATGATAACCAAAATCAATAGTTAACGCGACTGGAAGAGTTAGGACGAATTAAAGTGTAACTCAAACTCAGCTTGCAAGGAAGCTCACAGGGAATGCCCAGCTGGTACCGGGGCAGTAGGTCTGGTCTGACTACACAGATCCCTAAAGATCAAGTTGTCTGGCGGGTCGCAACCCCAGGGGGGCTGCTCGGGAACAACTCGGGGAACGTGAACGGGAACGGGAACGCGGCGGAGAAGAGAACGAACTGGTGAACGCGCCATAAGAGCTACTGGAGAACGTTCTTTCCCTGCGGCCGTTCCTTCACGCGTTCACGGCACTAGTCGTTCTCTCACTTGGTTCCCGAGCACCCCCCCAGTCGAGACGAAGAGTGAACATCTCTCGATTTTTGAGTGACTGGTCTGCAGCCCCACCGCTGCACCCCCGCGTGCGTAGATCAAAATAATCACGCGTCCGATACGTGAGTGAGGAAGGGTAGTAAGCGGAGGGGAAGTGAAAAGCTTCTCTTCTTTCGCACGGGGGCAATTCATTATCATTCTATATCTCAGTCAAACAATACCTGGTAGTGTGACTAACTGATTATTAAATACGTAATTAATGACACAAATAACTCTAAATCTAACGAAATCTTTCTTTTGCCGAATCAACAAAATTAGTTAACGTTGTCAGCATGGGCACGTGGGAAACTTGTCAGGTAGTAGTGGTACTCCTGCTCCTGCGCGGGGGGAGGGGTGAGGAGGGTGAGGTAGGGCACCGACCTTACTGTGAAAAGCTTAGCTTGGTCAGTGTGATTGTTTAATTTGTTTCGTGACACCTGGCCCAAGGTACGATCTAACACTATTTTTTAATTCCTTTCCTCTATTAAATCCCGTATTCGATTTTGCGTTTTTCTCACTACTTGCTCTATCGATTAAATCTGCTGCTCCAAATCAAAACAACAGTCGCAGGTGTTGGAGCGGTGTCCCTAACCTTTCCACAAGCTTTAAAGTGGGATTTTGGTGTGTGCGTTCGCACGTTTTATGTTTTCTGTTATATATTCTTACTGATAGACTGCGTGTGTCTATTCGCGACTCTTTCGATGATGCTCAGTACTGTTCTCAACCCCAACTCTCAGTTTCGCGTGCACCACAATGTGTGGACCTTTGTTAACATTCATATATATTTTGAATGCTAGATTTCGGCTATGAGTGCACCCAATATCAACAGGAGCGTGCTGTCTACAACTAGAGCACCCCGCAAAGATAGTAGCAACCCGGAACTGAATCAACTCTCTCTCCTAGCACGTTTTAAGGTTGAACATGCAGTTGACCAAGCACGTTCTCAGGTAATATGTTTTATGTGCTAATGTTACTGATGTATTTATTTGGTGTTCACATCAAACTAATTTTGTTGGGTAATTTGCAGATTTTAAAAGAAGCTCACCAGAAACGGTTGAAAATTTTACGTAAAGAGCTTGATTACTTAAAAAATTCTGCATGGATGTACCAGCCTGTTGATAAATTCATAGGTCAATAGTAGGCTCTGCCCATTAAAATATTACCTATCAGAATTCACACTTTTTAATCAACTACAACAATGTTGAGCAGATTAGCATCAGCTGTTAGCTCTGCAGTTGGCTGGGGAAGTAAATGTGATATTTCTTCTGATGAAGATGACGACTCTGGTAATCAAAAGACAGATTCTTTGATTGATCAAATACTTAATGATATCTTTACCAAAGAAGATGAAGGATATGTGGCACCCAATCATACTAAACCAGTGTTGCCCACCATTCAAACCAAGCTTGAGGCGATTGGTACAGTTACCCGACTGACTGATAAAAGTGGTGTCATCGATAATAAATATTATTTCAACCGTGCAAGTATTCATTGTGTAGGACTTGATGAGGGAAAAGAAGTCACATTTAGTGCCTACCGTGAGACTACAGAGCACGAATGGAGAGTCACTCAAATTTTTGCAGTTCATGATGAAACATGGAATGATCAGTACTCTGATGATGATGGTCTTGAAGTGAAATGTGATGAAATTCCAATAATTCCTGAAGAAATAGAGGATAATACTGGTTCTGCCAACAAACGAACTATTAATGGAGTTGTTAAGTTAAAAGAGGGGAGAGAAGTTGTAGTGAGGTATACTGTCAAGCCCTTGAAGGGTGCCCATGAAACTCGCGAAACCTGCTTTAACCTGGATGAGGTGTCTTCAGATTTCTTACCTATGATAGGTAAGTCCCTATCTTTATTTTGCTAACCACAATTTGTACATCGTGGGTTATCTGACTGATTTTCTTTTTTCCTGCCATAGGAGACGTTGTTCGTATGAATTGCATTGTGGAAATAACTGAAGAAACTGCAGATGGCAGTGGATCTGTAGTGAAAGTTCTTTCTCTTCAGCCCAATAGAGCTCGGGCATTTACTGGAGAAGTTTCAGCATGGCTTTCTAGAAAAGGAGAAGGTACCATACAAGAAGCAGCCAATATCTTTTTTAACAGAGCTGCTTGCGAGTCTGGCTACATCCCAAAGAAAGGAGATACGGTACTTCCACCTCTTATCTTTAAAATTTCTATAATTTCTTGCCAAGGCACTCTTGTAACAAATCAGTTGTCCTTTGTATCATTATTTAGGTTGAAGTAGAGGCTATTGAGTTTGAGAGAATTGGTTACGACTGGCGTGCTATCTCTGTACGTCCTGACACTATCTGTCAGCGTGATGAGAGTGAGGCAGTACATAGGAAATCTTTTTATAGGATTGATCCTGATCTACTGTTAAACAAAGGAAATATTGTTGTTCAAGAGAACACTCAGTTTGGAGCTCTACCTGCTTCTGATCAATATAAAATTGAGGTAAGTGGTGGCCTCTGGGAAAGCTTCTGGTGTATATGGTTTAAACAATGAACACATTTCTTTTACATTGTAGGTATCTGTTTCAAATGAGGGGCAAGTTCGGAAGAAAATCACAAGGCATTACATTGACTCCACTCCTTCCAACCTTACTCTTATGTCTCCAACCAATCAGCAAATTTGGATTGAACCACAACAAACAATTACATTCTGCTTTAAATATAATTTTAAACTCCTCGGATGGTTCAGTGAAGTTTTCATTATTCAGTTAGGAAATATTGAAATTGGACGCTTAATTGAATGGGAAGTCTTCACTCCAGATACTTCTGCAGTTCCCACAGCTCGAATCACTGATGACAAGAAATTTCATGAAGAAAGATCTCAGCATTCTCAAACATATCACGAGTTAAGGAGTCAAAGGTAAGCATTTCGCTTTTGATTAGGATTTGGAAGACTAATTTGTGTCAGCCAGACTCACAACTGCTCCTGCAATTACTTTGAGTTATTTCAATTACTTGGCAGCTCACTGTTCAAAACTTCTTACAGGGAGCACATTGTTAGAGGCAGGGCTTTGGTTAAACGCCCTAACTTTGTTAAAGTCAGACTAGGCCATTATCCCATCAATGATGATATAAGCAATGCAATGTGTCAGTCACAAGATAACAGATATATCAGCAAGGCAGATGCAAGAGATGCTCTTAAGAAATGTGTAAGAGATTTAAAAAATACTTTTCTGTAACACTGAGAATGTTTCCTTAACTAATTTCGCTATGCTTGCAGTGCCCTGTGCTGTCAGAGAGTTTGTCAGAAGCAAACCATAGAAGTCGCTTCCATGATTTGCTTCACATAGCTGAAGTAGATGGTAGTATTGACATGTGTCGGTATACCAAGGAAAGAGTGAGTTTTGTGAAGCGTGGTGAAGGTGCTGAGTACCTAACCCTAACTGTCCCAGGCCTAGCTGAAGGAAGGCCGTCTGTTTTAACTGGGGACAGAGTGATTGCAAAGAGCAGTAGCTGTGGAATCAAAGGTAAACATTGCTGTGTAGTATCATTACACTCTTAAAAATGTAACTTGCATTTTTAACATATATTTGATATTTTCAGCTGCAGTGTTTGAGGGTGTCATTCATAAGGTTCTAAAAGATGAAGTTTGGCTGAAATTTGTTCCTACATTTCACGCTTCTTACAATTCTGAGGACTATGATGTATATTTTGAACAAAGCAGAACTTGCTTCCGAAGGTGCCATGCAGCATTGGACATATGCCACAGTAATCAAGCAAAGTTGTGGCTTTTCCCCAAGGGTGTGAAGACCAAGCCACCCCAGGTTGCCATTGTAGAATCAGAGGAAACTGAACTTGTAGAAAGTAAATTTGATTCAAATATGTATGCAAACAGACTCAAAAAATTGGTTTGGTTCAATAAGAAATTGAACTACAGACAGAAAGAAGCTGTGCGAAACATAATGCTTGGTGAAGCTAGACCCCTTCCTTACATCATCTTTGGGCCTCCTGGTACAGGAAAGACTGTCACGTTAGTGGAAACAGTTCTCCAAATATACACTCTCATGAGTGAAAGCAGGTTGGTACAATTTAGTATCTAAGTGTTAGTAATTGCTTGGTGAAAGTGAGTTTTTTTTTTCATGCTAGGTCTAATGTTTAGGGCTCATACCAGTCAGGGAAAAGTCAGGGAGAAAAAAGAGGTGTCTGGAATTCAGGGAAAAGTAGGGAAATTCAATTTGGGTCAGGGAAAACTTTTCAGTGTGGACAAATGCTGGCCATGGCCCTGGTAGTTTCACCAGAGATAGCAAAACATGCAGATTTAGCATCAGAAACATTTCTCGCTCGCTCTGCTTGCGATCACATACACCATCTTAGCCAATTCTTCTACCAATATTCTGATTTTCATCTTTCAGTGATAACTAGTATTCTGTTATTGCGTCCGTTTTCTTACTCGTTCTTTACTGTCCCACCATCATCCGCTTGGTGGTAAAAAGAATGAGTATTGTTCTCAGTGCAGTGGCACACCTTAACTCATTCCACTTTCATCTCAGAGCATGAGACACCCACAGATATTCAAATAGTGTCATTGTACAGCGCAAACGCTGGTCTCAACTTAAAGAATGACCTTTTTTCATGTTCAATATTTTTTTTTTTAAATCTCTTAACTCTGCACATTTTCAGTCGAAGTCCTAAACCCTTCTAATTATTGGACACTCCAATCTCAGAAGACACAACTCCTTCAAACTTGAAAGTAATACTATTTAAAATGAGGAACCTTGCTGTCTGTTGTAACGACGAACTTTTCCCACATTTTATAGTATTATTTTGAGAACTCATAACAAAAGTTTTTAAGGCTTGGCCTCACGGGCGGGCTCTGTTCTGTTCGGGCCCTTCCTCGGGCCCCATTGTTGGGTCCAATGCCGGCTGGCCACTGGCCACGCCCCTCCCTCAGCAGGGTACTTTCTACCCAAATAAACCCTCCTTCCTTGTCCAGTGCCAGTGTCCTGACTTTTGAGGGGGTCATTTTGCCAAGTGTTGCATCTTGAGCGGGCTGGCTTTGAAATTGTCCTACCTACAAAACCATAGATATAAATATTTGTCAGAACTATTCGCTCAAAATATCAACACTTTGCGCAAAGAGGCACTCTCTACCTGACTTGTCCCTCCAACACAACATGTTACGGGTTTAACTACTGCACTCAGGACAATACTTGTTCTCTTACAACCAAGCATACTGACATAAAGTGTGATCTCTGTAAAGAATGAATTTCATATTTTACACAATTAATTTTGTGTTTTCATTCTCCCTTGTTCTGTATTTTCTACTACACTGACCTCCTATTGCACTCAGAAAAGTCAGGGAAAAACAGGATATTTTGGTCTGGAAGTCACGGAAAAGTCATGGAAAATGGAAATTGGGATCTGATATGAACCCTGATCTGTAATTTATGAAATTGTGTATTCTTACAGGTTACTTATAGCTACACCTTCCAATAGCTCCGCAAATCTCCTTGCTGAGAGGCTGTTAGATACTGGACTATTTCAGCCAGGTGACATGGTTAGATTAGTTGCAAATCATATTATTGTTGATGGGAAGGTGCCTGTTAAGCTTGTTCCATACTCTGCAACTGTTGATATTAACGCTGGGGCAGATGAACAAAAAAATCAGGTAATTAAACAATGTTTTAAGTACTTATAAGTTTTGACAAGACTTAAATTTTACTTATCTTTCTCAGAATGCTGATAAATTTCAAATTCATAACGGCACCACAATTCTAAGAACCAGGATTATAATTGGGACTTGCATGGCCCTTGGTCAGATCATACAGCTTGGTCTGGCACGTGGTCATTTCACTCATATTATGGTGGATGAAGCTGGTCAAGCTTCTGAGCCAGAAATTCTCATTCCGCTAAGTATGTTATCTTTACTGTGGTTTATAAATATTTGTTAAAGGTTTGTCATTGTTTTTGAAAATTGTCTATTATAGGTTTCATGGCACATGAGTCGGGGCAAGCAATCTTAGCAGGTGACCCTAACCAACTAGGACCTGTTATTCAGTCTCAACTAGCCAGTGGTTTTGGTCTGGACAGGTCGCTGTTGGCACGTTTACTCTCAAGATTTCCTTACCAGAGAGATGCTACAGGATTTCCAGAAACTGGAGGTTATGATCCTAGACTAGTTACACGCTTGTCTCTGAATTATAGGTCACTGCCTGATATTCTTGAATTGCCAAGCTCTTTGTTTTATGACTCAGATTTAGAGCCTTGGGTGAGCTTTAATAATTTCTTTATTCTATTGAAAGTTCTGGTTTGGTTAGAATAGCTCAGCTAATTTCCCCCTTCTCCCTTTTTTTGTTTTTGTTTTGTAGCTCTCTGACCATGACAGTTATGAAGCAAAACTTCTCGAGAAAGCTACTTCAGTTCTCAACTTGCCCCACTCTGCTGTTGTTTTTCGGGGAATGAAAGGAGATGCCATGCGAGATAATGATTCTCCTTCATTCTATAATGCTGTAGAAATGTATCACACTGTAGATTCTGTAATCTCATTACTTGATGCAGACTTCAATAGTGAAGATATAGGTATCATTACCCCATACCAAAAACAGGTAATGCTTTTAGACAACTAGATATGATATCTGTACTCGTTTTTATGTGGGATGTCATTCTTCATTTTACTTATTATTCTCTAAATTGTCCCACTTTAAAAAAAAAATTTGCCCACAGGTAACAAAAATCCGAAATATGTTAGAAAAACTTCGTGGTGAAACTGCCCTAGGTGTGAAGGTAGGAAGTGTGGAAGAGTTTCAAGGACAAGAAAGAATGATTATCTTTATTTCTACAGTTAGAAGCTTAGGCAGTACTCATCTCACCTCAATCAAGAGGAATACTGCTAAACAACTACTGGGGTTTGTGAACAACCCAGAAAGACTGAATGTATCCATATCAAGAGCAAGAGCACTTCTAGTAATTTGTGGGGATCCAGAGGTTTTGTTAGTAGACAAGTACTGGCGAAGTGTTGTGACCTACTGTATTGACAGAAACGCTTACTTGGGGGTCACTGTTCCCAAACAGTTACTGGATCAGTAAGAAATGCTGTATTTTATTTTATGAATTAATTGATTATGATATTGACGAATTGTTTATAATAAGCCATGATTTATTTTTATACAATAAATTTGTATGTAGGATTTTATCTTGCATACTTTTAGTGTTATTATTAAAGTTAATATCTTTTTGTGTGTCGCATGTTACTGAAAGTTCTTGTTAAACCAGTGTCCTAAAGTACAAGGTGCTAACAAACTCTTAATGTACTCTAATTTTCTTCCACTTCTGAGGAATAAAATATATTACTTATATACTTGCTAAAGGTTGAAAGATTTGTCACTTTCAAAGTAATTTCCTTGTGCGGTGGAAGTATGACTGGCCGCTGTTTGTGCTGTGTGTACCATCACTGCGAGAAGTGAGGGCATACCCACTCAAATTTAAGTGACAAGCATATCTTGCCTCAATGTTGACTGAGCAGCAAAGGGATGGATTACCAAGTTCAGTAGTGGTTACGTTGTTTGCCCGTGATTAGATTTTAAAGAATATATCAGTACCAGCTACCGACCCCGTCGATGCTTTGCTATTTGCGGCAATTGTATAATGCTGATCAAATCACATTCAACTTTATTTTCTTCAAGAAAAGCTAAATACAAATATACGAAATCGATCCAGCAGTTTAATTTTGCCTTGTGCAGAGATGCAAGTTTTAAACATGGGGCTCAAGTAATTTAGTGAATAGCAATTAGTATGGTTTGGTTTAGTCGTAAAATAGCGGGTTGATAATTTATTTCATTTCTGTGAGTTGCAGAGAATTTGATATACTACTGGTGAATCTTCTCAAATGGTTAATTCACTTTGGAACTATGAGAACATGAATTGGAACAAAAAAAATATAAGATCCAACAACATAAAATTTTATTTTGTAATTACAGTTTGGGTATTGACAAGGCTTCAAAGTGTTTTAGAACAGTTTGTTAAAATAGGTGTTCTGTACAAGAACAGTGCCATGGACAAAGATAATGTTGACTGGAACTACCAATTAGCTAAATTCAGAAATCTAAATGTCTCCTGGGAAAGTACCGTTCTGTATCTGCTCATCCCACTTCTCAAACCAGAACTCAGGACAAATTGTCTTGTAAGCCTTTTGGAAGTAGTTGCAGGGTTCATATTTCTCGCCGCGCTTCTTGACACAACGGTGATAATCGAGGTACATTTGATAGCAGTGCCTGAAACAAAAAGCAATACAACTTAACTGATTGTCTATAAAAAAGCTACTTGAGTTAACTTCAACAATTCAACATACCTCGTTTGGTTTTGGTTAGGAAACCGGGAATCCGGTGCAACAGTGTGATAACCTGCAGGGGCTGGACGAGCTTCTCTGAGATTGTTAACATACCATTCAACCAATTTAGGAGCCATGACTATTCTGAAACAGATATACAAAGAATATAGGAAATGTGTGCTCGGAGAGCTGGTGAAAATAGTGACGCGAACATTACTTTACCAACAAGGAAAGGGTTGCCAGGAAGAAAAGACAATTTTACATCTTATTTGACAGTCCTTTGCCTTTTGTTGGAATGAAGTGGAAGAAAGAGAATGGGCCCAGTAAAGGTTATAAGAAAATACATAGAACCCAGCCATAAGGAGAGACAAAATTTCTTAAATTGTGATAAAGGAAAGTGACTGACTAGGCCATCCTATAAACTTCAATTTGACTGATTAAATTAAATAGTAGCTGCACAGTAAGCTAGCAAAGTCAATGCAAGACTTAGTACAATGATGGATTTTTTTTAATTCAAGCATTGTGTTTCCACTTACCACAACATTTTCTTCTTACAAAAACAATGAAATTAGTACATTAATCTCATTTTAAAAGATTGTCCAGGTAAAGAAATATTATATATGAGATCCAAAACAACTAAGTTAAATCACTTATATTTAATATATTTAACATATATACAATCAGACACTTCAAATTTATTTCACAAGAGGTCTTGTTTTTCCATCCTCCTCACAAGATGTCTCTTTATATCTTTTAACTTCAGCCATGTAGAGAGACCAAGCGTCTTTGGGTTTTTCTTCAGGCTCTTCTTCGCCCGCGCGCTTCTTCTTTACCACACCTGTAGGTAAAACCCTTCCACCTCGTCTCTTTCCAACCATAGGAGCACGTTTGACTGCTTCTTTGGAACTTTCATCACCACTGCTGATATTGCCTGACTGCCCAGAAGTGGTTGGATGAATTTCTGGGGATGCAGGCTGTGCACTTTCTGTTTTAACTGAGGACAGTGGGGCTGATGACTCAATACTTTTGCTTGAACTAGATGTTGAAGGAGTCCCACTTCCACTTGCTTCCTGCATTCTCTTGAACATTTCAAGAAAACTGCCATCATTCCGGAAAGCATTAAGGGGCTGAGCGTCAGATTTTGACTGAGATGGTGGAGCTCGGTCTCTGGCTGGTGGGGTGGTGTCCCCCTCCGACCTATGATACACCATGGCAATCACCTATGAAAAGAGAACTTTCTGGTGTAAACACCATGCCCATCATACTTGAACCAATATCCATCATTGTACAGTAAGTAAGCAAGATGTTCCTGAGCAGTACAATATTTCAGATCAGCATGTAATACAGAAGTGTATGAACACAAACTGACACAAAACTGCTGAGAAACATCATCTATGCTCTTGTGAAAATATATTAAATACATGTTCTACAGAATGAAAGACACTTTTGGTAGTATTGAGTGACTACAGAATGGCTCCACAAGAACAATAGAATTTTCACCAAGATGAGTATCTTGATTAAGGCAACTAGCTTTGAAGTGCGTAAGAAAATTTGCTACACAGTAAGAAAGCATAGAAATTTTTAAACAGATGCATACCAAACACCAAGTGTGAAGTTACTAACTAACAGCCAAAGCAATACTTGGGACGAAATAAAATGAGCTTTGGCAAATAGAGAAGCATTCAGAAATATACTTAAAATGCACATTTCACACCACAACCTAGATATTGAAAATCGTGGATGAGCATTGGCGCTACGCAATGGCAATGGTTTAATAAATCAAATGAGGCCTTAAGTGACCTGAAGGACAATTTACTAATCATCTCGTAGAGTTCAGTACACTAAATGACAATCTCTAATATAAATTATTTAATTTAATGTTTAATATAATAATCTAAATTGATAAATTACATAAAGCTTTGAGGCCACAAGGCTTTCTATTAGTGTTTTATTAAAATGAACTACACACATGACTGACATGGCACAGGAACAGCAAACAGCACACAACTTGGAACATAGATGATGTTCAAAGTTTTGAGGTCTATGAAAGGTTTAGATTTGAAAAGATAATGACGTTCATGTAAAAAACTAGTGCAGTTTTGACTGGACTGTAGCCAAACCACCCGCATTTTATGAGGGTTAAAGAAAATGACAGAGATACAGGCAGGGACGCAAGAAGATAAGCTAAGGTCATAGAAAAATAAAGAAGGTAGCAAACAGGCTACACGACTGCATGAGCTGATGAGAAAGGCAAAACAGCATCTGTCCTTGACAAAACTAACCCTAAAGTTCTAAAGACATGACAGCATGAGTTCAGCAATGTAGAGAGCAATAAGACAAAGAGAAAAATTAGCGGAATCTAACGCGTAATGAAAGAGATAGCGACCAGAAGGTGAAAAGGAAATAAATTTAAACACATGATGACTACTCGGAACAGGCAAGAAGGTTCAGCAGTTCAAAAGGTTCAACTTTGCAAATCAAGTGGAACAAAAAGCAAAACAAAGAACATACATGCAGGACGGTTGTTTTTTGAAAAAAAGTTCTGCCCTACCGATGAAAAGGAGTTCCTCGGGTTCAACAGATTATCAAGAAGATTCAAAGGTGTCCTCTGGTCTGAAAGTCTTTCGAAGATGGCTGACCCATAATCCGTGGTTGTGCAGGGAAAAAACAATCGAGTTGCGTGACCACGAGTTCAGTTCAGCTCATGGGAGATTTGGGATACAAATACTAGTAACGCAACTCATTTATTTATTTTCGAGTGTACAGACTTTAGAACAGATGTAAGACAAAAAAAACTCATTATAAAGACTCAAAATCGAGCTATGTTGGTTGTCAGTCCATAAAGAACAGGATGAATGATGCAGATGATGCGCACCGATCCAAAATCTGCCCTTCCGTGCATCCCTGCGCAAACCTTTCATCATTGACTATCTTAATTTTAGGAAAAAAAACACGACACAATCGTGGCAGTTGACACTTTCAAAGAATTTTTTTAAAATAGATCTATAGTAAGTCCTCCTCTCAAGATTGCCACGCTTCTACATCTTGTGGACTTAAATTTGAATATTGCTTCTATATGTTGGCAAATGCGGAGGGTTAGAGTAGCAGACATAAGAGCAGACGACAATCAATATTCATCATTCCTCGTCATGCCACCTCTTATTTCGACATTCAATAATGATTTAGACTGAAAAAAGGAACAAATCCAGTACTTTCCAACGATTTCTCTGGACGATTTTTATTTTGAAACCATTCCATTACTTTTCATGGGTGTGTCAAAGGCAGCAAATGTATTTAAGTGTTAGAAATGGCTCGAGACTGCAGATGTGTAGTGTAAACACAATACTTTGGCCGAATGCTGGCGCTTCGTTAGGACTCTTATCTCAGAGTTGCAGTCAGTCTGGTCTCAACCTTTGTCGTCTTCAGAGACGCCGTAGCAATAGCATCACGATGGGAGACACCAGCCCTCGCGTTCTCTCGATACAGAGCCATGTAGTTTCGGGTTATGTGGGCAACAAAAGTGCCACATTTCCATTGCAGGTAAGCTGAATCATTGAATATTTCCCATCTCTGTGTGATATCTGTAATAATTTGTAAGAGCTCCCCCTCATTTAAATTCCATGCAGGTCTTAGGATTTGATGTTGATGCTGTAAACTCAGTCCAGTTTTCAAATCATACTGGGTATGGCTATTGGAAAGGACACGTATTGGCTGAACAAGAATTGGGTTAGTACTTAAATTGCTTTTGAATATTTTTTAAATAATATGAACAAGGTTAATTAATTGTGACTTGGGGTACTACTAGTCTCCCAACTTGATTTGTTATCATGAGCTGCATCTCTGTTCCAGTTGAGCTAGCGGAGGGACTTGCTCACAATGGACTTGATTGTCATTATACCCATTTACTGACTGGTTATAGTCGTTCGAAGTCTTTCCTGTCGCACATTGCCAATATTGTCTGCGAGCTACGCAAAAAGAATCCAGGCTTGATATATTGTAAGTATTTTACACTGTAATAGAAAGGGAGATATTTTAATTTAATTACATTTTTTTACAACCTTTTTATATTTCACCAGTATGTGATCCTGTTATTGGTGACATTGGCCGTGGTGTATATGTTCCATCAGATTTAATTGAAGTGTACCAGAAAACCATCATACCAATAGCTAACGTTGTTACTCCCAATCAATTTGAATTGGAGTGAGTTACAATTTACCAATTTGAAGAAAAATGTCATAAGCTGTTTGCAATGCCATTATTACAACTGTTTAAGGGTTCATTGAACTACCTGTAGCACTGTACTGAAATTTGCAGGATTTTGACTGGTAAACCTGTGAAGTCCGTTGAAGATGCATGGGAAGCAACTGCAGTATTACACAACATGGGTCCACAAACTGTTGTTATCTCATCATCAGAACTGGGAGATGATGATTCTCTTCTCTGCTTAGCAAGCATGATAGTTGGTATGGCTTAATTGCTTCCTGAATTATTTTGCTGTCAGTGCTACTTGTCTTACAAGCAATTCTTTTCAGAGGGAAAGAGAGAAAGAGCAATAGTTACTTTCCCGAAGCTAGAGGGCTCCTACACAGGTACTGGTGATTTATTCTCTGCACTCTTCCTGGCTTGGATGTGGCGTTCCCAGCAAAATTTAAAACAAGCTTTGGAGTTTACTGTCGCCACAATACAGGCTATTTTACAGCGTACCATAGCACTAAAGAATGGTCATTAATCCTTTATAAAACAAATGCATAGTATACATTGTATACAAAACTTCAAGGAAAAATTTGACTTATACCTATTTTGTTCCACCCAGGTAATAATGAAAAGTCAGTCTACCAAAATGAGCTAAAGCTTATTCAAGGTAAGAGTGATATTGAGAATCCAAAAGTAATTTATCCTGCTACTCTACTTAAAGAATGAAGACCCCATCACACTTTGTGAATTATTGGATAAACATATAACCAATCAACTATCTCTAATTATCAATATCAAGTGCTTCAACTAGTTCTTGGTCAGTATTTTGTTGCGCATATCACTGCATATATTTACTAAATTTCTATGCTTTACGCTTAATCAAACAAAATCGAAGTCTTAAAAGTCATCTGTACACACTTGGATTTTAGTCATTTCTCCCGTGCATTGGTTTTTCCAAAAATAACTTGCATCAGTGAGGGTATCCTATAATTTTATATACTACCGTAAATATAAGAAAAATTTGTTGCAATGACAATAATTTAAACTGGAACTTAGTTGTTCAGAGTAACTAATAATCATGAAATGAATCTTTTAAATGGAATTTATTGTATTTTCCTGAGTATAAGACCCCCTTAGATATAAGATCCCCTTCCACTTTTAAGACCCCAAATTCAGGAAATGAAAAAGGGTTTCTTTTTTAGTTTGGTGTCCATGCTAAGTGTGTTCCCTCTTGGCTTAAACCTTCCCATATAAGAACCCTTCCCCCAACCCATGTTGCTCAGAGACAAATTTTTAGGCCAATAAAAGGGGAGTCTCATAATTGGGAAAGTACAGAAATTATAATGATATCCATGATGTTTACTGTCTTGAATAGTTCTTTAGTTTTGATTGGTATTTCAGTTGTGATAAACAGTATTGTACGCATTTTGTTTTTCTGTTATCTTACATTTCTCAGATATTTCACCATGTCTTTATTGGACTGGTCCGACCAAAGAAGTTAAATCTGTAGGTTTTTGAGAGGAATCGTTTTTTGACTTGTCTTCCATTTTAATCATAATGTATTTTAAATGAGTGGTATAAGCCCACATAAATGTATATCACTGTTAAAAATAAAGCTACATTAAAATTTGTTATCCTTAGTCTGTTATTGATTATTTTCTTTTTTAACTGTTCCCATATTTTACATCTGCTTGGAACTCTGGAAATTGATTTGCAGTTATAAGTGAGGGTGCATATATTTTTTTCTATGTGGTCATGAGTTAAGTGTCTAGTCTCAAACCTTTCTAAAACATTTATTTAATTATTCACAGCATAATGTTGGTACAATCATTTTCTTAAGTACATTCGGATTTAAAGTACTTAGGAGAGACATTCACGTAGCTGCACCAATAAAGCTGATAGTCCACCTTGCAGATAGTAGTTCACCCTAGGACTGCAGCCTGCAACACAAAAGCCAAGCTTGTTAGAGAGAAAGAAGGGCGAACAGGAGAGAAGAGGAGAGGGGGGTGGGGGTAATCTGGAAGCCCCTTGGCGAAAAACTTCTCCCCTGACGACAGGAACTAAGAGCGAAAAATAGCCTGGCGTTGGCGATAAGAAACAAAAGAATATCAGTGTCATTTCGGCGCGCCCCGAGTACAAAAGGGCACGGGTCGTGTTGGGGAGGCACAAGAAGCGGCAGGCCGGGGGAGCGGCACAGTAAGGGCCAAGCAAGTAGAAGGTGGAGAGGGAGAGAAAAGTCAAGAAGTCTAGTCGGAGCCGTGCACGGCAGGCATCGACCATCTTTCCAAGACAACAGAAGAGTTTCAGTTCAGCCGCTGGTAGCGTTATCTAGGCGCCTACCAACCATGGCCCCGTTATCGCCCCCCCCCTGATTTGTTATCATGAGCTGCATCTCTGTTCCAGTTGAGCTAGCGGAGGGACTTGCTCACAATGGACTTGATTGTCATTATACCCATTTACTGAC